CACACACACACACACACACACACACACACACACACACACCAACTAAGCATGTAATCCAGTCCTAGCCCGATTAATTGATAGCAATATCAGTTCAATGTGGTGTTTTGAGCATAAAACTCCATAGTAACATGTCCACAGCAATCTTGAATTCTGAGCTCGGGGTTGTGTCGATTCCTCAGAGTTCACGAGTCAGAATTCCGACTTCAGGAGGGCGTTCCAGTCGAGATTCCCGACCAGGAACTTAGAATTTGAGTTACAAGTTCAAATGGAACGCAGCATTAGAAACACAGCAAGAGACACACCTGGAAGGGCTTCTGGTAGATCTCCTGCATGGCAAGGCGTCCATACTCGGTGAAGAGCTTTGAGAGGAAAGGACAACAGTGAGCGATGTCAGAAGACAAACGGTCGCGGGCCTGCCGGTTGGCACTCACTCCCCATACTGCGGAGATGCTACTCCTCCATATCACTCACTACCTACATGACCAGATGATCAGTTTCCCTCAAAATGTCAGAAAAACACAAACATTAGCAGACACGACTGACATCATGCATTTCAAAGGCATTTCTAAACTTATCCAACTAGCACCCTTATGTAATTATAAGCACACTGTGTTCCCCATTAAGTGGTTACATTAAGTGGTGGTATAGATCTATACATTTCTAGTGTACTGCCTGAGCAGTTTCTCACTTGAATATTTCATAATTATACACTGTACATTCCCTCAATCTCAGCATTAAGTTCACATACAAACCACTAGATCTACCTTTCAAGTGTAGATGATTTCTGAACTATTAATGAGAAGATGCATTTTTAACATCAGACTCTGCACACCTGAAGATGCTGAAGGTCATCTTCTTGAACATTTTGGGATAAATTGTATACCTGAAAAACATTCAGCTCGCATTTAGGTCCCATATTAACATTCATATGCAGAAACAAGTACTATTCAGAGCACAAGGGTGAGAGGATTAAAGAATCTGTAGTCGGGCAATTCTACAGCAGCAGTAATTGTGACCAAGATGTCATGCATTTGGTGAAGGGTGCAACCCATTATGCAGTATAATTTAATAGCTGAGATACCACCCGTCCTCTGCTGTTGTATTTCAAGCAAAGCAAATGAGTTCTTTTCGAACTGTGGCTAGATTTTCCTCTGTTTTAAGACAGACTGGCTTGTTATATGGTAACCGATTATAATCAAACTGCGTAGGTCATCATGCATTTACACTTACAGCTGATGCTTTAACAAATACAGCAAACTGCAGGCAGGCAGTCTGGGAAACCACCCAGCCAAGGATGAATAAAATGCCACTTTATCCAAGAGGAGCTCAGTTACCAGAGCGCACAAGGCAACCCTGATTCACTCTCTAAACTGACCTGTATGGAGCTCGTCATGGTGCTCAGGGCAAACACTGTGGCACAGTCCTTGATGGTGGACTGGCTATCAAAAGCTCCCTGGGTGTCCACAAGAAGAACCGCCACCTGTTGGGCAGTAACAGTGCAATATTGAGGATCCTACTTGTGACACTATAAAACCCAGAGGTGGAAATTTCAGGTCCTGAACGTACAAATCCAGACCAAGATTTTGTTTCAACCAACCAGTTGAGTACTCTGTGACTGTGACTCTTTATGCTCAACTGGTTGGTTGAAAGTAAATCATGGTCTGGATTTGTACTCCCAGTGAGGAGGCGGGCTCACCTTGCTCCCGTCAGGCCTGTCCACCACAAACACCTCACTCCAGAGCTGGATCCCCGTCGTCTCCCGCTCACAGCCGCCCCTCCAAGTGAAGCCAGTCAGGGGGACTTCTTCACCCCCAAGCCAGAAGCTGGATGACTGGTGAAGAAACATGGTGTGAGGGCAGCACAAGAGAGAAAGGAATGTTTTGCTTAACACCAGACAGGACCATTTGCCAGAATCACCACTAGAGGGCAGTGGTCTGACATTTCCCCCTCAAAGATCAGCAGTCCCAGCACAGGCTTCTGACAACAGCTTCAATCAACCAGACAATTTGCTGGAATTAAAGATAAGCCACATTGTACGGTGTGATAAGAGGTTTCACTGCAAGGTGCACAATGATGAAATTAAATCGATGCCTCCATACCAAGCTGCCTCATCTACACTTTCCAAGCCAGCAGTGAGCAACCTTACCCACAGAGGCCTGCATCGTCTGCGGCTTTTTAATGTTCCAGCGCTCGATTGATTGAAAGTCATTATTCGCACTGGAAATATCACCTTGCCTTGTGATAAAAAGCTGGCTCGCTGGCTCTATCCAAATGACACTGAAAATCCACAAACACCTAAGCCCAGGTATGGCTGTAATTTGCCATCCTGTGGCACTAACAGTGGTCACTTCAGGAACTCCTCAGAGTTTCAGAATGCAAGACTTGTTCTTAGGGCAGTGAATTAACACATGGTGCACTCTGAGCCAGGTGCAGACTGGTTGTTCCTCATGCCACCTGCATTGCCACAGGTCCCATGTGAATGCAATGCTGCGCACGCCAACTTGACTTCAGGAATGGCTTTGTCTGCGCCAACAGCCAGAGCGTGACCGGCAGAAACAAAAACAAGGCCAACAGCCTATGCCCTGCAATGCTCGAGTCAATTAATACTTCTATTCTCATAGCCTTATTGGAAAACAGGCTCATTATTACCATGCTAAACTCCACGTCAAATGAGATGCTTATACTCAAAGACCCAACAGCAGACAGCAGAATCCACCAGTCAGACAGTATTTACTGGGTCAGGACATGCAGACCCAAGGAGTAAGAGCTGGGCACGCAGAGAATCACTCCCTGACTGGAACCTTGTGTCTCATCCACCCGCAACAGGGGCTCAGAGTATGGCCAGGTGTCCAGATCCTGCTAAATTCAAAGCTAACAAACTGACAACCAGTAAGTCACACACAAGCAACACTGTTACAAACTCACACAAAACATTTCACAATCCAGTTCAGTGTGACACGGCCAGATGCTTCAAAGGCCACAGGAGCAGAAGCTCAACTCCAGCCTGAAGATGAGATAAGGATAACGGTCCAGCAGGTTCCGTGAAGCAAGCCCACCAGTCACAAGTTTCTCGCACACGATCCGCCGATGCCTCCCCATCAGCCGTCACCATCAACTCGCACGCATCTCCCTCAGATGGAAATTACCAAAGAAACCCAATCAAAAGGTATTCAGGGGAGTCAAACCTCTTAATGAGTTACGCAAAATGACCGCATCATAATGTCATTCAAGCTCAGAAGGACGAGGTGAGATAGAGGGTGTAGGGAAAGGACTACATTGTACTTTGACTTTGTTAAAAAGAGCATGAACAAACCCTTTGTAAATGGGGCACAGAAGAAGAGGATGGAAACAATTGCTTTGTTCTAAAATGCGGGAGAACTAGCCCAGCCTGTCCTCCCAGGAGTAACACCTACATTAATACAGTTGTCACTGGGCACCAGAATCCCCTCCCAAAACACCAACCTCACCTGGTTGTACATGTAGCGCAGCATGAAGTCCAGCAGGAAGGACTTGCCCTTACGGAAGGCCCCCGCAACAGACACCACCACCACGTGGAGGTCACGCACATGCTCTTGAAGCAAAACGCGCTCCAGGGCTGCCTCGTCCAGCTCGAACCGGTGGCTGTCCTCGTGGGCCAGCACCACCTGCACAGGTCCAGCCACCATTGCTTCCTCCTCCTCAGCACCATTCAGGAACAGCTCCTCTTCTTCCTCATCATCATCTTCCTCCTGCTCCTCATCTTGCCAGGGTAGTGCTACATCTTCCACTCCGTACTGACCTGAGAATGGGAAGACCCATCCATAGAGCTCATCAATAAAAGGACTCGTATCTGCAGCAACTTGTGTTTAGGTCCATGTGGTGGAGAAACAACTAACCCATTAGAACAGGAATGAAGGCCAACTCCTTATCGGAGCACACATAAAAGCAGTCCTAAGTTCAAGGGTTTGTTTCCTTGTGATGCTTTCCCACTGGCATACAGGAACAGACCCGTACCCTAGCCGTACCGCCAAGAAAGACTAGTTGCAGTGCAGTTTCAGCTTGCTTTAGTTTTCCACTGCAGCAGAGTTGGCGCGGTAAAGGCGTTGCCGGGTTTGGAGAGCGACAGTGACGTAAATCCAAAGGCGCGCTTATTTCCCGTTCACACGGTGTACAATCTGTACATCATGATTTACTATGTCCAATTATTATTATTTTTTTTTTTTTTACAGCATCCTAATTTCCACTAGCACGTCTGACAATCACCGTGTTATGCAAGTGTCAAACACTAGCAGAATTAGCATTAAGTACATTTGCATTAGGAATCCATTCCATTCAGCTGTTCTATAGTACTTTGTCAAGCAGGAGGTTGGAAATTTTCAAGTTCCAAGTTATCAGAAATGCATCAATACATTGTGATGTGCCGTACTACTAATACGTAGAATATACACTTCTTCGTTCAGAAAATCCACATGCAGAACATGGAGATGAATATCTCCATGCATTTCAAATGATGGTAACGCAACCTGCTCAGTTTGGTCACGCTGTCGGCCCTGCTAGTAAGGAGGGCTATGTCAGTGCAGTTACGGCTTGGGTACAGCTTGCATTCTTCGCAATGGAAAACAGCCAGTTCATAGTATGGCTCAGATACGACTCGGTTATGGGTAGCAGTGGAAAGATAACATTAGTCTCTACAGCAGGTCTATCAGCTCAACCAGTGCAAGTGACCGGGGACCAACCCCATCAACATTTTTTGCTAGGGAACCATTTTAAACTGCCTTATGTAGTACATAGGGAAAACATAGAGAGATTTCTCTCTAAGTCAGTAATACAGCCACAGAACCAACTCCATGACCTGATCGATTTCCCGTGGGAGGCTGGTTATATAACATCTGAGTTAGGGAGTGTGGGAGAGGTCTGATCATGCACTTTTTAAAATACAGCCATTATGGAAAATCGGCCACAGGCCTCAGGGTAGAAAGGGTCTTATTAGACCTGGACACCAGCAAAATGCAGGCCAAGCAAATTTACATACATGGACACCAGGCACATGTTCTCAGCCCCGGCTGCATTTACGAAGCATCCTATCAACATGCCTGAATAAAATCACATCACTAAACAAGCCACTTAATGAAGGAAAAAAAATGTGTGAGGCAGCATTGTTATTACGATGCAAAAAGTAATAACCCAGTAAAAGAAACCATCAAACACCAAACTTAGACAACGTGCAAATGCATTCTAATGCATGCAATTCAAAGACGTCACCTATAAATCTCATAACGCACAGATCATTGACCATTTCTTCACATACATCATTCCACATTATATTCAAAGCCTTGACTTCTGTACATTCACTGATAATATTTATCATGAGCTGGAACACCCCTGATCCTTCATGCTGTATCAGCAAGCTAGAGAAAAACTCAACTCATTACAGGACAGTAGAAAACTGTAAGTGGCTGCCCCTTCGAGTTAGGCCAAAAAAGATATTCGGGGGGGGGGCCTCCCCTTGGCTAGCAGTACTGTGGATAATGGAAGGACAGAGGGTCACGTCATAACTCTATGAATCGTCTCAACAAGCCCACCCCACCCCCATCTCCTCTAAGCCAAGGACGGTATATTCCAGGAACACACAGAGCCCTCTCCAGTTACAGAGGAGGCCAGCTCTGCCGGCCTTATGAACACGTGTGGGAAGGCGATGCGAAAATAGACGCGTTCCAGTTTGTGCAGGACCCCTGAGGACTGCGAGGCCCTCAAGGAAGAGATTATTAAAACCACACTCTGCCCCATATTGAGCACTTGACTCTCCATTTAAACGGGTAGGTTAAAAATACACCTTGGTGAAACTGATCCAGGGCCAACGCCGAATTAAAGAAATAGGACCGGTTATGACACTGACACTGACACTGACACTGACACTGACACTGACACACACACACACACACACACACACACACACACACACACACACACACACCAGGCTTAGGGTTCTAATCCCACTAAAGGAGAACGACATAAAATGGACATAACATTCATAAATAGAAACACTGGCCACAGATAGGTCACATTAAGCTTGTGGAAATCCGGCCGCCATCCTGAATGACGGAAAACCATCAGCAGCCCAAAGTACCCACAGAGAGAAGCCTGCTGCTGCAGTGAAAGTCATATTGCAACACAGCAAGTGGCTGTAACTCAAATCAACAACCTGTTCACTGGATAACAAAGCATTTAAGAATAAATGCTGTTTAAGAATAGAAACACAAACATGTATTAGACCCACTTTTAGGTTTAATGTCGTAATCGCTGATTGTTTAATATGCTTGGCGATTTAGAATTTGACCATGAATCACAATTTTAATATCAAACCTCAAGATCCGTTACAGAGTAACCACTAACTTAATCGTTGTAAATTGAGATGTCCCTGTCTTGGAAACTCCCTACAACATCCATCTGTATAAATGCAATATGGTTTACTTGCTTAAGTAATAATTAACACAGAGAAGGAAGGAAAAAAAAGAAAAAAAAAAAAAAAAAACTTTGCTTAGGGTACTGAAATGATGATATGCTAAGGAACTGATTAATGGGTAAAAATTGTTTAGCCCAACCAAAAACAAACTACTTGTCCCAGATATCAGAAGAACAATGGAAAAAGCTTGACAGAATACAAAGTAACTATTTGAAATTAATTTGATTGGCATTTCTATTTACAGAGGTTTCTCACAAGGAAACAGGTTGCATAAATCAAGGAAATTCTGCGCTACAAAGAGAAATGTGAAGATACACATCGTTCCTTCTCCCAAATACTTCACAGCCAGCAGAACAACCCAACAAGACACTAACAAGAGACCTCCACCCTCCTTTATGTGAAGCACAGGGAACACTGTAGACTTAGCAATGGCTTTGGATTTACTGCACAGAAAAAAGTACAAAATAAAATTTTAAAAAAATCAATGTTTCCACCAGCTGTGGGATTTCAACCAAGACCACGGAGATTCTCCCAACCACAGAGCTGCAGATACAAGTACTGATAAAAGGGTTCGGTATTCAGTGAGGGGAAAGAGAAACTTAGTCCAGATTAAATCTTCGGTGACAGCCAATTGAGACAATCATGAGAATGGAGGCAGAAAAACATTGTTTACAAAGCATAATATGCCAAAATACAAAGTGTAATTTGTACATAATTTTGAGGAGGACAAACAACTGAAAACCAAAACCTAGTTTTACTTTGTCAAGGGTCCTCTTACCCTTACAGTACTATACAGCATACAAGATGGGGGTGGGCAGGTTTAGAATCTCATTTCCAAGTCACCTGATATTTGGCCTCATGACACTCTCTGTCTAGCAGGTTAACACATGCCAATTACATGAGAACAAAATGACCCTCATTCCAGTATGACAGATGGTAAATGGCGGCACAGAATCAGCAGTGAAGATTGTCAGGCATTCACTAATGTTCCTATAGTGGAATTTCACTTTCCCAAATGTCTTGGAAGGAACACAATTTCGTTTCCTCATGAATACTGCCTTCTCATGCATTTCACACAAGCCTATTCTGATCAGCAACAGTAGAATGTCAGCCCTCAATGTGCCCAATAGGCACAGCTGCTGGCACACTCACAAGAGAGCAACTGGCTCTGTGCCTGAACTTGGGGCCGACCATCGTGACCGAATAGTGAGCAACCTGGGGAGTCGATTCATGACGGCAGCACAAAGTCCACAGCATGATCATGAACTCCCGTGGGGGCAGGGGTACAATAAACTGCAACGTCCAATGGGAAAGCCACTGAAATTCCATGTTATTCTACTTCACATGTGTTCCACCGTGGAACACATGTGAAGTAGAATAACAATTTGCATGATTATTACTAAATGGTGGAACTTCCACCATTTAGTAATAATCATGCAAAATTTACATACTAAACTTTACATAGTTTTACACTCTTGCGTTTACGCTCTTGCCTGAGAGCATGTGCTCACCACGACACGCCATTATGCCAAGAAAGGACAACACATCACACAAAACACATTACAGTTAAAAGGGCCCAAAAGTCAAGCGAAATGAGACCTACGTTACATTCACTGTCATGCTTCAAGGCCTCAGATATGCCATCAGTGTTCACCACTCTGCTTAATGCAGTTAGGGCACAAAGCAGGCTGCACAAGTTTGCAATTACCTATGCAATCATGAAACTGAACAGAATTAAACAAACGATTTATTTATAACCATTCGTCTTCCATAATAACCACAAATCACCCAAAATTTATTAATAAAAAGGTAGCAGGCTGAGAAAATTCTTTGGGTCCATGTCAAGTGCACACATACTAAAGTCAAGCCCAGGATAGAACACTGAGAGGTTCCCCAGTTTGTTTCCGATTACACAGGAGGCAGAAGGCAGCTTGGCATGCTTGCTGCCAGGTGCATGGTAATCCAACAGAAGGCTTGAGAAGATGACGCCATGCCACTGCCCCCGGCTGTGCCGCAAGGAGCAGGCGACTCCTCTCCCCTGCTTGTAGGCCAGCCCTACAAACCCACGGTCTCCAGTCTCTCTACAGGACGGCAAAGCCCTTGAATCATAAAAAAAAAAAAAAAAAAAAAAAAAAGTCACAAAATATTTACAAACACTGAGCCGCATCAAACCACAAAGACAAATGCCTCAGTGGACAATATAACTCCGGTCCTGGAGAGCTACTAACCAGTAGGTTTTCTATTCTACCTGGCTTCTGATGAGCCACACCTGCTCCTGGTATTTACCTGAGAACTAGTGTGGCTCATCAGAAGCCAGGTCGGATAGAAAACCTACTGGTTAGTAGCTCTCCAGTACCAGAGTTGGAGACCCCTGGCATAAGCTATGAAGGCTGGGATAAACCCAAGACAAGATGACAATCATTCACAGCTACATATAGGTACAAATATAAATATCTCATTGAAGTATAACACTCCCTACATGGTTGACAATTAATTTATCTTCAAAGGACAAACTAAAAAAAGGAATGAAGTTTAGCTACTTATTTATTGGTTGTAAACTCTGGACAATTCTTCACTCCAAGAGCATTAGTACATCTTCACCCTGAATCCTTTACAACATTTCATTGTCACCCAGATACCAAAACACAGGCTGCAAAGCCCCTTGAGAATCCCCACCTCCCCAGACCCCTAGGGTCATCTCTGACAGGGAGACAGTGGCAGCATTCAAAACATGTGATGTTTGCACCAAAAACGTGGCAGCTGAAGCCTCCAGGTAAACAAAACCAGCAACTTCGCAGTTATTCAGACCTTCATCTTACTTTTCCCAGTTTGATAAATGGACAGCAAACGGTCACATCTCTTTCAGTGGGAATGTGCTGCACTACACTAAGGGGGATACTTAGAACAGTGAAATAATTAGCTAGACCCAGCAAAGGAGTCAGGAAGCATTACAGTATTGGGAAAATCATGTTCAATACGTTATTTCCCCAGTGACAAAAAACAGGGAAAGCGCCTACCGAAAGTGGCCAGTGGCTCCCTAATTATACCTGTTTAGATCTCAGTACGAATCAGGGTATCCTGAAACTCGAACACCTGCAAGAACAGCAAACGGGGCCAGACACGGCGCCAGCTCCTCCTAATTACAGAACAACCATTTAAAACAACAGGCGTCAGGTGCACAGATACAAGCAGGCAATAAATCGCAACACGGCAACTAAAAAGGCGACATCAGTGGGGAAACGTGCCATTTAGAAGCATGCGTTTGTCTGAATAGCATGTATAATGCGCGAAGGAAATACAATTTTAAAGTGATGCATACAGCGTCCATTCATTTGAAAGAAATGGAAGCCCAAGCAAGTGCGGAATCACGTGACCGCAGAAAGCACGCACTCCTGTCGCCAGGCAGCCAGGGAATTACAGCAGGGGGACCGTTAAACGGCGTCTCGAGCTCAGCCGCGCGACCAAAACCCTTAATACGCGAATAGGCCGAGCAACAGTCCGCGACATGGCCGTCAAAACCCACGGGTCGCCGATTGAGAGCGACCAGGGCTCTGTGAAACTTAAGTGAGCTGTTACAGAAACGAGACAGGTTCACCTATCATTATGTCGAGAGCCGAAATATACATAACCTTACATACCAAAAAGCAGTTTCGTGAGAAGTCTGTCAATAAGAACCATATCACCCGGTTATAATGGGATTTTGAGCCCAAAAAACCGCCATGCGAAAGCATACCTTCGTCAAAAACGTCGTATTTATATTTCTGTTCCAAATGATTCCGATTCCTGAGCCCGCTCTTCTCCGCCATCTTGTTCTGTTTAAAAAACGAGCTGACGTCAGGAGCCCTTTCCTACCTTTATCAGAGCTGGACCTTCGCCTTCTGCTGGGTCCTAAAGCACTACGCAAATGGATAGTTAGCTAAGTTAAAAAGTGATAGTGTGACCTTACTGAATTATATAATCACTGTCCTGAATATTTATCATAGTGTTTATCAGTTATTTACTTAACTGCTTGGGGTCATGGAAGTACACATTAACTTGCACTTTGAAATGAAATGCAGCTCCAAATGGTGTAGTGGCATTTGAAACACCTGTTAAATATTTACAGTAAAGACTTCTTTATGGGGTGGCATGGCGGTGCAGTGGTCGGCACTGTTGCCTTACACTTGTGGGACCTGAATTCAGTCTCCACCAAGGTTCCATGTGTGTGGAGTTTGCATGTTCTTCCCATGTTATCGTGGGGTTTCCCTCTAGGTATTCTGGTTTTCCCCCACAGTCCAAAGACATGCCAAGGCTACCTGGAGATTACCAGACTGCTCATAGGAGTGAATGGAGTGTGCCCTGTGATGGATTGGTGCCCCATCCTGCCTGTAGCCTCCAGGAAAGGCTCTGTAACCCCCACAACCCTGAATAGGATAAGTGGTTTCAGAAAATGGATGTGCTTCCTTATGGCCACAAACAATTTACTGATGGGTGACCTATTCCCTCTTTCAGAGATACACCTGTTTTTCCCAGTGACTTCTATGCCTATTGTGCAGTTAAATAGTACTGTCTCCCACTGCATTTTGATAGAAGGGTTAGTATAAAAATAGTTTAAATGCAGTTAAATACAAGTACAGAAAGTATGTCAGGCTGTGACCCTATCAATCACAAGCAGCTGAAGTAGTCTCATTTGAGAAATAAGTACTCATTCTTGTTGCTCATTACCTTTCAGCTCTAAAAGCCTCACTACATGAAACTAATTTGGTTATCGAATTAAGACCATTCTGGATTTGAAAGCATATGGGGCCATGACACTATACTTCTACTGCACTTATCAGGAACGATGACATGATAACGACACACATAGTGAACTACAGAAGATAAGAAGTCTTTGACTTTTAATGTTACTGTGTGGGTATATGGGAAGGAAATCTCAGTGGGCTTGTAGAGACTGCCGGCGTTTCTTTAAAACCTTTGAGATTAAATGAAGTGACGTATCAGGCAGCATCAGTTTGGCCTTCACACACTAAGAATTGTAGGGTTCATTTCTGTCCCGGTTCTGTGTATGTGGAGATTGCATGTTCTTCCTCTCTTCCTGTATATTTTCACTCACGGTCCAGAGATGGATTGGTCTCTGTACATCATCTTCATTTTATGTGCATGCATGCCATGTGATTGATTGACATGCTGTCCATATTGTTCCCTCTGCTTGGTGGGATTGATTCTACATTGGCTATTACCCTGCATTAGATAAGTTGTTCAGGTAACATGCATGAAATTAATTATTTCAACCACCAGCGATTAATTAATGTGGCACACAGTTCAGCAAACACCTACATCTAGATACCACACACTTGCTATCACTCTGTCCCTTTTCTGGTCGTTCTATTCCATTTCTTATCATAAGCATCTAGCCAGCCACTGAGCTGTATCTTAATTACCATCCATATATCCTCCTGGAACAATGTACCTGATTTGGACTCCCATGAAAGGAATGATATTTTCTGTTTACAATGCAGAATGTCATGCAGACATATACTGTATAAGCTTGCTAGTGATCAGCTGAATCTTCCAAATGGGAAATCCACACAGTGCATACTGGAATTGCTTCTAGCAAAGAACTGGCACTTTGACGTGAGGAACTTGTTTGATTAACTGAAAAGTCAACAGTTCTGCCCCGGATGCATTTTGGCACCGTTGCCTGATTGATCAGCATGCTGCCCTTACCTCTGTCACACATATTTACATTTTTACTGTGGTCTTTCTTACCCAGCAATTAATTTTGAGTTGCTTTTCTTTTTTCTCATTTGACGGCTTTTGGAAAGACCCCCCCCCACCCCCAACTTCAAGTAAAAAGATTCTAGGACACTTAAATAAGTCTTTTACAGTCAACACTAAAATAACATTGTAAACTACTGTATGTGAACCATCAAATCTCACATTTTTGGTAGCAATTGTGAAAAATGAAAGAGTGCATTTGTTAATGTATGTGACAGTACAGTACAGTTTTAACCATGTGTAATAATAGATTATTTCAAAATCTATCTTGTGCACTTATCTAACAATTATGGTGCATCACCATTTGCTATTGGTTATAAATATTACTTTACTGATTAAACTGTAATGTATTAAGTCATATTTGAAAGTAAGTTGTAAACATCCATCAATCCATCCATCTTCCATTTGTTTATCAAGAAGAGGGTCAGTTCAGTTCAATTTATTTTTATATAGCACCTTTCACAACAGATTTGCCCCAAGGTGCTTTACATGGGTGTGTTGTGGTACATTACAGCATCATTAAGACTGAATAGTACAGAAACAGGCAAAAAGGAGGAGAAATAACGAAAGAAAGAAAGAAAGAAAGAAAGAAAGAAAGAAAGCCAGATGACAACAGAGGAGTGGAACCAAAAACTCCCAAATAAAGAGAAAAAAAGCTCTGGGGGGTCCAAGGTCAACTGGCTGGCCAACCCCCCCGGTCATACGAGGATGAACATCATAGGAGGATGAAAAATAACCACATTTACTTAAACTTTGTGATTTAATGTCTATACACATGTATTTCAATGGGATAAATATTCTATTGACCTATTGATCTCCCTGAAGTATTTATGGTTACATTGTCACAAAGGCGTTTCACTTGCTTTATGTCTCTGCCAATTTCCATACTCATTCATGTCTCAGCATATTTCTCCAACTTATGCTTATAATTACAGGAAGGATATTGTGTAGAATTTGCATATTATATACACTACAAAATGTCCCATCAGACTGTCTTGTGAGCTGCCAATACAAGCCAAAGACAAACCAAGCTTCCTTTTCCACATGACTTATCACAGACATAGAAATTCCTAGATATGAAGTTTGATTATAGCTCTGCTTTTCAGTCACTTTTGTCAGTAATACACTTATACATCATAATGTTGAAGGACGACATCCTACATTGAACTTGGCCCCGTTTAGATATGGGCCAATAATATAGTCTAAATAGGGATTATAATGAACCTATTAAGGCTGTGCACAATGGCTTTCTATTTTTGACCGTGATAAGAAGCATGTATTTGCAGTTATGATAAGATTGGGGAACATTGTGCTTATAAAACCCAGAAGCTTTAAAATGACATTCACATATTGTTCTTTAACATGAGAATTGCAGTCACTGTAAAATTCCACTCTCAAATAGTCAATATCACAAATGGACAGAGTATAGAAGAGAAACTACAGCTATATATTACAGCAGCAGAACAGCAATGCATTCAGACAAACTACAATTTATTTCACTGAATGCTTGGTTTCAGAACATACAATGTGGGATTCTTAATGCCTTTGGTAACGTGTCTCCAGGTGTGATCATTCTTGAAAAGTCACATGACCTTTACATAAGGGTATGTCATTATACAATTCACATGAGTGGAAGGACACAAAGGTTTGTGAAAAGCAATTGTGCCTCTTCCCACCAAACCTCACTCTGCTTATCAAACAGAAACAGCAGCAAAAGCAAAACACTCCAACATATCTGGGGCTTTTGTTTAATGAGCCCTGCTGTGCTTTACTGTAAATATCTTCCCTCTTTCTATGAGAACTATAGTTCCAAAATACTGGCATAGAATTTTCTAATATTTGGCCTTGCAGCTGTGGTTCGTTTACTCAGAAGTACTACTGATTTATTTTAAGACATCCACACTGTGTCCCAAGTGAACACACTGGCATAATAGAATTTTGTGAGCCCAAGAAGTATGCCTAAGCTGACCTGAATATGCTATGGGTTTTTCATGAGAACTACTGATTGTGTGAGTGCAAAAGGAAATCTTTCTGCACTTTTCTGGAATTTGATTATCAGGCTCCTATGAGTCCAGCTCACAGATGGCCGGTGGTGTTGAGGGTCAGTGAAAAATCTTGCATTTGGGCTTGTCTGGCGCTCTGTCAGACTTAACTAAGAGTTATACAGGGGATCTTCTGCCTTAGATCATACAACCTCGTTACTTTCACAGTTTCCTCAGGGTTCGTCTGTGTGTGAGTATGTGCCTGTATAAGGATGCTGCCCGTAAGTCCCTCAGCACTGAGGAAGCCTGCACACTCTATTTACTATTTAAAACATATTACCCAATCAAAGGCACACACCGGCATCATAATGCGCACCGACAGCTGTGCCGTCTGCCCAGCTGAGAAAATGAACCCCTTGATGTGCAGATAAAACAAAGAATTAAGACATGAATCACTGTCAGCGGCAGCTCCTGGCAAGGGCAAGATGGCCGATCTTCCAGAGCAGCATCTTCAGAGGGGGCATCGATTTGGCTAACTGCCAGCATCACCACCCCCGTCCCACCACCACAGTATGAGGTGATGCTGGGGGTGAAGTTTGCAGGCCAGCCATCTGCAGTGTAGCTTGCACAAGGCATAACAATGGCTCTGACCACCACTGATCACTGTGTAGTGTAGACTATTGCTATGTAAAATCCAGTATAGGTACTAGAATCTCCGTATTATTCGTCATGAGAACCTCATGATGATGATCTTGAGTTTTAGAGATGTACATTAAATTGTTTTGTGGACAAATTCTTAAAACTGGCTGCACTTATGTCTCATACACAGCAGTTTTAATGATGATTTAACTTTATTTCCCTCTGCAAGCCAGCTTCCCATCATAAACTCGGACCATGTCAGTCCGGCTCATTGTGCACTCTGAAGGAATGTTTCTCAAACTCCTGGTGCGTTCATTGGGAACCGACAGCTCCCACGTCCCAGAGTCTCTGAAGGCCGCATACTAACTTAGGCCAGCTACAGCCTAGGAAGAAGGTTGTCCTGCACAGTGACACAGATCTGGATTCTACTGTCCATACTGTATTCACTGTTCAGACAAACTCTACTAAACAACGTTTTGTAACAAAGGTGAAAGATTTAAATAT